CAAAACGAGTACCACCTGTAGTTTTCTTTCCCTGTGAGTAGCAAGTAGTTTTAGAGGGCTAAAGACTTATCATAGGGTAAATCTGCTATACATTCAGGTTGTTTACTCTGACCTTAATTTTGAAATTCACTTAGAATTTTCACTTTAGTAAATGACCCTGATAGTTAATACATGACTGTAGCTTACGTTTTAAATGGAGATATAAAAAAGCAGAAGAGAGAGTGGTAGGCAAGAAGATTGATGGTAAGAGCGTTAGTAGAATTTTTAATGCCACAAAGGAAAATTCTAAAATATTTTTCTGGCCATACATTTTATGGTAGGAACTGGATGTATGTGGATCTAAACTAGCCATTAATGACGTTGGCTGTAGACCACAAAGTATCACCACCCTACCAAAAGAAGTGATAAAACATGGATTAAAAAAATATGTAATATTATAAATATGAAACAGTACAGAGTTCAATGAAGAACTTAAGATGTCATCATGTAGAGAACAGACTGGCTAATCACCAGTCAGAAGAGTACAGACGCTAGACTTCTAGAATCACTATTTATTGAACGAGAACTGTTAAATTAAAATTAAAGAATAGGAAAGCATTAATCATGTACATATTATTTTGCTTGTTATAATGATGATGTAGTTTTGGCATGCAAAGGAAACATTTTATGCGCATTGACAAAGAAAAAATTAAATCCAATGTCATTTTTAGCAATCCTTTTATTTATATTGTTCTTATTTATTTTAAATTAAATGATTAAAAATTAAAGGGAAACCATAGACATTGAAACAACTTTAATGAAGCAGTTTTTGTGTATAGATCATGTTACTGCAGTCTCACAGCTCAATTCTCTGCCATTTAGGATTTAAACCGCTTGTGCTTCTGTCTATACACTCATAGCCATACTTCCCCTAGCTGTGACTCACACAGACTGCATTAAAAAATGGGTTCACTTTAAATCAGATGTTAACTTGCTTTAAAAATGTTACCTTCTGATCTGTACATTAAACTTTTATCAGGCTCCTGCAGGGTCCAGAAGGTTATTAAACAAGCATAAGGTAAGAAATTCTAAATTAAACAGAATGTGCAATAAAGGAAATTTTAACATTAGATATCTCTTTTCTGGAAGTGTTTAGAAAGGATGTGTAAGTTACATGCAGGGCGGTGTGGCCTGCATAAACAAAGTGTTTGCACTCCTAAATGGCAGAACTGAGAAGTGATCTGTACACCAAAACTGCTTCATTAAGCTATAAAGAAGGAATATCAGCTAAGGGAATACTGGAATTTACAGTTTTTGTGGGGTGAGTCATATACAATAGTGTAAAAGATGTCCATGGCAATAGTCAAACCTTTACAATGTAATGTTCTGTGATTGCTTTACAGTGGCCAATAAATTAATTGCATTTAGTTTTCTTGAATTTCTTTGATATGAGGTACTCCATTTGTTCAATGAAACATTTTATTGAACAATCTGGAACATATTCATCCAAAAGTCCATATACATGTCCTTTTATTACTGCAGGATGAAGAGTTTGAAGTCAAACAGATATAAGGTGTCAGGAAACAATATTTCAGGAGGCAATATTTTTGTCTTTTGTTGTTTACACCAACAGATATAGATGATACGTTTCATTTTATGAGCCATTGCCTTGGGTCAAGTAAGCTACTTAATACCCTTCCCTTGGCTGAGATAAAGAGTAAATATGAATGTGGTGAATAGTTCACTTACTAGTAGACCTATAACCTTTTTATTAGAAATAGTAATTTCTACACAAGCAAATTCAAAGGTTTGGCAAGACTACATCGATACTCCTGAATTATACTAGAGAAGATATACTTTAGAATCCGAACAAGGAGAGGCAAAATAAAATGAATAAGTCCCAAGCTGGGAGTACCTACAAAAGATATAGGATTGTACTGGTGAAAAAATGGGATACACTTAGTGAAACATCCCTTTTAAGGAAATATTTGCGGCATTTGACGGCATTATTCTAATACTTTCTTAAAGAAGACACATTTAACAGAAAAAATAAATGCATACAAACAGATTGATATATGGTGTGTATAAAAGGTACTAGAAGAATAGAACAAGAATGGAAATACATTTATTTTAAACAATGTTTTTCCCCCAAATGATGTTGATTTATACAGCTACAACATTGAATATCCTCCAGAATGTATTTATATTTAAGATCTTTGCAGTATGGCAGTTACATCTATAAATTGAATTATTATACATGGAAAAAGTTAATGAACTTAATATTATAAGCTCACTCTGGAGCAAAGAAAAAAAATTGGGCTAGACGTGATATGGACTTAAATTTTTTTTTTTTTTAGATGCCTTAGAGGTAAAAGCCGAAAACCTTCATTTTGCAAAGAAATGATTGAGTCCTGCTATTGCTGACTTTATATGATTTGTAATATCTTCTTTATGCTTGATAGAATAACTTGCACGACTCAAAGCAATATCAGGCTGGGATCTTCACTTTTTCATGGATCGTCTTTTCTATTACAACGTAGCAGAATGAGTTTGGCATGGTGACAGGCCGGTATCTGTTTTATTGAGTGGTTGTTTAGGAAAACAGATGTTAAGAAAGTATTTGATTTCTGAAGGTTAACTATATATTCTTGAAATAAATCTTTTACCAAAATGTTGTTGTTTTTTATGTATTTGCGTGGCATTTAACATTGTAAAATCTGTTACAGCACACTGTAGTTCAGTATTTTAACCAAACAATGTATTATCATCAATTAAAATAATATAAGGACATGATCTATACTATGACTCGTTTTGCTTCCAAAAGCCACATTTCTGCACCTGCATCATAAAATAACCATACGTATAAACTGCCTTATGGAAAAACCTTAAATATTATATATGTATAGTATTAAAACAGAGATTAAAGGAAAATGAATGTGGATGAGTGCTAAATCTTATTGTTCTGCAGAGTGCAGGGAGTTAAAGGGATTCTATAGTGTAAGGAATACACCCCACAGACACAGGAAAAAAACTAACTTTTTAACACTTACCCGATTTCAGCACTCGTCAGTGCTCCGCCTCCTGCGCATGTGCAGTGAGCCCTGCAAGCACGTAAGGCCCTTCCCATAGGAATAGAATGAATTCTATGCTGGATGTCCTCGTGCAGAGCGTAATTCTTTGCAGTATCAATTTAGAGATTCTGGCATTGCATTTACAGTAAATCCATGCATGAGAAGTGGCAGTGCCCACAGCAGAGATAGTAGAATGCTGTGCAGCACGTGCTTTTTTCTGACTATGCTTTCATTGAATTCCTGGACAGCATTAGCAGAATGCTGTTCTTGGGTAAGGGGGAAGGGATATGTAATTTATTGTTTCTTATGTGAAATATGTAATATAGCTTTTTTTTTTTTTTTTTTAAGATACATTTGACATTTTATAAAGAAGCAGCAAATAATGAATAAAATGGTCTTAATTCGCTTATTGAAACACAATACCTGTTAATATTTGATTGGGTAGTCCTTGTTTTTTAGCTCTAGTGCAAACCTTTTGGGCATCACATGGACTAGTTTTTTCACTAAGTTAACAGAAATCACCCCATGCCATCTGTGAATAATACTTTCAGTTAATCCCGGCTGATACTTTGATATTTCCACACTTAGTTTTCTTCCACAGGTTTTTAATAGAGTTCAAATCAGGTGATTAGGCAGGCCAACCAAGTCGACAAACACCTCTGTTTCTATCCCAGTTCTTCACAGTTGTTGCTCAAAGGCATCTTGGAACACATGTGGGTGACACATTGTCATCTTGGAACACATAGTCACCATGTGGGAATAAGTCAGCAGCAGTAGTACTCATTTTATTAGTAAGAACACCAATATACTTGCTTGTGTTCATTATTCCTTTAACAATGCATAGTCTCCCAATGCCATTTGCAGCCATACAAGACCAAATCATTATAGTTGTTGGGTACTTCAATGTTAAGTGTACTGTGGCTTGAATTCTTCACCAGGATAATTCCTGCCATATAAACTACCATTATTTGCAACAATGAAAAAGGTCAAATCATCATTAAATTGGTCTTTTAACCAGCTTGCCGTCGACCAATATCGAGGTTGCTTAGCCCACACTTGAGAGCTTTTCTCTGGCATTCTGACAGTAGAGGTTTCCTCCTTGCTTTATGGTCTCTGAGTCCAAAGAAGAGTAGTCAGTGACAGACTGCTGAAGCAGAACAGGTCACAGAAGTACACTCTGACCATTCTCTTGCCAGCTCAGGTGATGTCAGCAACCTATTTGAGTGGCAAAATCTCTTAAGCACTTTGCTATCTCTTTTGGATGAACATGGCGGACGTTTACCGCATTTACGATGCGACAGATCCAGTTTCTATATAATGCTGGCTTTTTCCTGGGCACATCATAATGCTGACAATTCACTTTTAAAGCAATTTGGCAGAGAGAAAGAAACCCTAAGCTGTGATTGGCTGTAATGTTACAACCTCTAATAGGTTGATACAACTAAAAACCCCAATCTGGTCTTCGTTTTTCAAATGGATCGTTTGTTTGTTTTGTTCCATAAAAGACAGCAGAGAATAAGATCTTTTTTTAAGATTTAAAATTTACATTAAATGTCCTTTAATTTGGCATATTATTTACCGGTAAATAATTTTCTATGATTTCTATTTATTTTATTTCTATTCAAGATGTTGAATTCCATGTAAAGAAAGCTATTGCAACATTTTTGCACACCACTGTTTATATTTATGTGTGTGTGTGTGTGTGTGTGTATATAGTGAAAGCTGCAGCATTGTCAAAGGGCTTTTAATATCAATACTTTTATACCTTGACTACATTGCTGCCTGTTTTTCATGCTACCTAAATAACGGTAAAGCTAAATGGCAAGCATAAATGAAATAAATAAGAATAAACAAACCCAAATTAAAAAGAAGTTTAAATTAGAAATAGCTAACTTAAAAAGTTCGACGTTTTGATTAGCTGAAATGATATAGTGCAGTAATAGCTGTGTGGGCTGTTTCGTGTCTCAGCTAGTGACACAACAAAGAGAAATAAAGGCTTCTCTCCTACTTAAAACCAGGTACTTAACTAGAAATCAAGAGATCGAATGACATATACCCCAAGGTTACTTACATCACACCGAGCTTCTAAATAAAACATGAGCGTTTCTTATTTTAGAGTCTGATAGATAAACAGGCTTGCATCATGTGAACACAGACAGGAGGGTGATTTGACACTAAGGAAAATAATTCCATGACTTCTTAGAATGTGACATTTCAGGCCAGGCACATGGAGTTCGTTCTCCGCAGACAGCTTATGATCCTGTGTCTTGCAGCTTTTTCCGTCTCCTTGACTCAGCTGTTGCAGGGGAAGCATGTGGTAGAGTTAGATTTCAAATTATGCAAAGACAGTTCCCATCTGCATAAAACTCTTTGCTAGATAACATACAGCGGCTTTTATTTATAGCTTTACTTTAGACCGTGACCTTATTTTTTAAATCATATTAAGCACGGACAGGTGAGAGTTTGTGCCTGGGGGCGTTGCTCAAAACAATAGCGCCCTCTAATGGCATGTCAGAAAATGAGCCACCCACTCTGGTATTTTTAAAAAAGGAGCGATTTAATTCATTTCAAAACAGTTACTGCCACGTCTCATTGAACAAAAAATAATAAATTCACAAAATAATAATATAACTATTAACACGCAGAATGCATAACTGGTTACATATAGTTAGAAACAGGGGTTTCTTCAATAAACGCCAAATATAGTGAATAAAAAACAAATACATATTATTCTTCTTGAAATGTGCACGTGTTGTTCTAAAGTTTTAAAGGGTCTTGTGTTAAAACTCTAGCTGTCAAATATACACAAAAAAGGAGTATACTCTTAGTTCATTGTTAAATATGCAAATTGATGTATACTGGTGATGCAGCCACTCAGTCCTAGATCAATATTTCATTCCAAGTACCGGAGTTTTATCAAGAGCTGTATACTGTATTTATATATGAAATCAGTGATTTACTTATCTACAATCATTATTAATGATCACTAATGATATATGAGCCTCATAATATTCCCCATAATTATTACCAAATATGTCACTTCTTATTTTCATAAAGAAAAAATTGCATGAAAAAATGACATATAAAACAATTAATATGCTGGTTATTAAACCACTGGAAAAAAATCACTTTGCTTCACTTTAATTTATTCAAATACTGGGTCACTTGGGGTGAATGTACATATTTGTTCCTTCTTTTGATTAAGCTAATCATATAGTCAGCGAGAGTAATTATTAAATGCGATCATGTTCACTGGGCACAATTTTCATTAAAGATTTTCAAAGCTGTTTTAATTTTTGTTATTTTGAGTGCAGTATCTATCTGTGAATGTAAGTGTTCTACTGTACATAAAGGTAATGTCGTAGCTTAACTTGGATAATAGTATCTACCTTTGAATTGTTTTTTCATAAGGTGCCATGGCAATTTCATGTATGTCACCAAACAATTGATTGTTAATACAATTATCTTTTATATGGAGCCGGCTCCACTGTGAGACTTTCAAACCTCCTGCCAGACTAAGTACCGTGGAAATACATAGCGTGTTACGTGTTTCCTTGTTGCTTTGTTGCACCTTATATGCAACATAAAATTTGATAAGAGAGTTTGTGGACATGCTTGGTCTTTAACTCTTCAGGTGCACTTACAGACTATTTTTCTGAATAAGCTATCAAAAATAAAATCCAGGTCATAATGATAAACATACAGCTACTTTTAATTTCTGCTGATGGTTGGGTAAGTGTATATGATAGAAGGCAGAACCCAATTATACTACGGCCTTGTTTTAATAAGCTTTGCAAATGATTCAATACTGTTCTAAAGTATTTATCTACAAACATTCCTATAGATTGTAATAGTGAGTTCTCTTGATTTGGAAGGTTTTTCTAACAGTATTGAATAATTTGGAAATCTTATTAAATTTAGGCCTTATTAGAAGATGAGGTTATACTTTAGTACCAACATGATCTAAAGAAGAGGAATTGTTGATATAGTGTCAAAATGTTGACTTTAGGAGCAGGAGTTACTATTGATAAATTCGAAGTGTCTCAAATACTCAAGCCCTTGCTGTCTGTTTGGATAGCTCATGTCTTATGTCTCAGTGGAATTAAATATTGGCTCTATAGCTTGGCACAGGAATGTTCTTCCTGAAGACATGCCAGAATTACTTGTGTTTAGAATTACATGAGATCCCAGCAAGTTCAGTAGTTTCAGCTAATATTTCCAATTTCTCATACCCTTGTGTATAGATTAATAAATAAGCCTGAGAGAGAATTTTGCATGTGGGTTACAAACATTTGCGTTGTTATTAAAATTATATAATTATTCCCAAATCCATAAGGTCATTTGTTGCTATAAAATAAATTCACAAATTCGTAAATTCATTTCTAAATAAAATAAATATAGGGCCTTTTTGCAACCAGGATTATATATTTGCAAAGTTGAAATAAACGGATTTGTTTTAAAATCATTATCACAACACTCCTGAAATATGTTCAGGCCAACTCATAGGTTTTTGCACCCCTACCCGTCACAGGTGCTTTATTCCAGTGTCCTGTTTACCTTGCCCTGTAGAGAGTCCCAGGAGGAATGAGTTCCAAAGTAAGTGGGTAAATCTCATAAGAGCAGGCATTAGTTTGCTATAATAATACCTATCAAAAATGGGGTATATTGGCATTGTGGCAGGCTTGTGCAATGTATGATCATGTAACAAGTTGGTGTTTAGTGAGTGAGTACACTGGATCCTGTATGTTACATTTACAGTATATGAAGGGTTAGTACATTTGTTGTGTAATTTTTGAACATTGTTTATTATTGAACTGTATTTGTTTCAAATATTTGTTATTTTTTTAACAATATAAGTGTGTTGCTCTTATTTAAAGAAAGCACTCTTTAGTATTTCACACATTGCATAATGATACATTAATATATGACTAAACATTTTATGGTAACCTTGCCATGTTACACAGTCTCTTTAATACCCAACAGTTTATATCTGCTCCCTCCATCATCAGTTATTGTGTTCAGTCGTGATCGGTGTGTGATGTATGTTGAATATGTGATACATGTTATGGGAGTTTTGGATGTGTCTGTGTTATGTGTAATTGTGTAATATGTTGGCCGTGTGTGATGTGCTTGTGTTGGCAATGTGTAATATGTGTGATGGGAGTGTTGTCTTTGTGTCATATGTGATATGTGTTTGCTGGCTGTGTGTGATGTGCGTGTGTTAAGTGTTTGTGTGATATGAGTGATGTGTGTGACTGAAAGCTTGTCCAGTCACACATATCATACACATCCAACATACAAATCACACATAGCCAATTGCCAAGTCAGGATGCTCTCATAGCAATGCCCCATAGCATTAATAGTGAAGCCATGTCCTTAGTGCCAGTGACTGCAAAAACTCAAGCTATGCTTTCAGTGATAAAATGCAGAGTCAGGATGCCAGCAAGGATAGGTGTTATAATGACCTTGGCTGCTAGTGAACAGGGCTGGCACTGTCCTTGGGATACTCAGAGTGCCAGGGAATAATTACCCACCGCTCTTTCTGCCTCATCCTTTCGCAGGTTTTCAAGTACAGAGTCCTGTGGGGACAGACCTGCAGCTAGTCCAGAGACGGGAATCTGCTGCATTCTCACGCGCCCTCTTATGACACCAGGCACCAGATGTTAACGTTTGAAGGCACTTCATGCATGTTTTCTGCACCTCCAGTGATGCATTTTCACTTAATTAAAACAGTGATATATCAAATAAAAAGTAAATTGTGTTTTTGATGGGGGGCAGCAGTATCAAAGGATACTGCGCCTCCCCTGCCGGTGCACCCTAAGATGACCCACTCCATAGCACTGGCTCTGTCCCCAAATATCTATACACACAGTATTTTCACCACTGAATCTTCACATTTGGCTCTATTCCTACCATTCAGAAGATACACAATACTTATTTCATTTAGTTAACCTCTTTGTAAAAGCAAACTGAAAAATGATGTATAAAACAACAACAACAACTGAATTAATGAAAGTTATTATTAAAAAAAAATGTCACATCACATCTTAGGTAAAATAGTAGGACCCAAGAGGTGATAGATTTTCTATACATACCCTGGAAAATTATAATTTTCTATTGTTTTATTGTTTATATTGCATGTTATAAACCCTTACTATATATTATTATATATAGAATACATATACATTCCTACTTTGGTTTGGTGTGTCTGCTGGCTTATCCATGCTCTGATGGGACAGCCATTTTTTTAATGTTTTTAATGTCCCACAGTACATTCCTCGATTCCAACTTAGGGTAAGTCTAAGATGAAGCAAAGCTCACTTCAGTGCTAGCATTGATTAAGTCAGATCTAATACAAATTAAACTGAATGACCGTGTAACTCATTCCTAAATTCAAAAGCTATGTTGACACCAAGGAGAGCCTCTGGTATTGCCAAAGCTAAGAATGAGCTTAGATTGCCAAAGCTGTGTTTGGTTGTAATCATCTCTCATCAATATTTATTATTATTATCATCACCATTTGTGTAGTGCTAACATATTCCACAAAGCTTTACAATGATACATTGGGGATCTTAAACAACAAAGTTGTTACATACATGCATGTAAAGTAGTGCTGAGAATGAAGAGGTGAAAAGGGTCCTGCTCAACCATGCTCACAAACGAAAATGTTGTGATTCGTGATTCAGAGTTCCATCTACGGAACCAAAAAAAAGAGATAACTGACGGGGAAAAAAAGATGATTGATGACTAGGGGACAGTCACTAAATGTTGACTTTATTCATAGGTCAAGAGAAGGGACCAATAGAGGGACCAAAAAGAGGGGAACAGTTACATAAAATCCAGATTTACATATTATATTTAATAAATGTATAAAGCTATATAAATATTCTGCTGGTTTTTTACTCCTGCTCCTCTTTTTATCTCTTACATTTTCTGACTTGATTTATGAACCAAATGTTGATAAAATGCAAAATATATAAATTTATTTTATGACAATCAATTTTTATTTAAGGGGCCAGCAAAGATTCACAAGCTACACAAAGCCATACAGAGCAGGAAATACATCAAACAGCAGCATACACACAAAGATTATGTACTGAAAAAAGTACTGCACCATAAATGACTCATAGATTAACAAAAGTAGGCTAGCAACAATATGTTATACTAAGCGGAGGGACCAGTAGCTATTAACTTGCAATAAAAAGTAGTGTCTTGAAACTGCTGGTGAATGTGGGAGAGTGGTTGCTCAGGAGATAATGGCTGTAGAGGAACGAGGAGATCCTCCAGACATGCCTAGAACTCATACTAATGGACAGTGACAAAAATTAGATGTATACAAAATGCAACTGAAAATTTTAAATAAACTGAAGATAGATGAATGGCTGAACATATGTGTACGGTCCACTCAGTTCAGGTGGCAGGTAGCCTTTTAGCAGGGTAGAATGACTGCATATCATCCACATTCCAGTTCAGCGTGCCGTGGATCCCTGTGGTTGGTGGGGGGCCTTTGTTTGTGTTGTGGGCCAAGGGAGTACCAAAGCAGTAATGAAGGCAGTTGCCCCTTTAATATATAAGACCTGCAAATGTTTGCTGCCGTGGCTGGCACTCAACTTGTACCGCAGACCTCAACAGTAATTAATACTTTTTTCTCTCAGGAGCTTGGTGATGGATCTGAACTGTTGCCTCTGTTGTGGCAATAGTGGAGTGAGAAAAGTCCCCAAAGAATGACAGGTTACAGTTCTTAGAGAACTGTAGGAGAGGCTTGAGCTGCAATCATAACTATGGCCTTGTCCACCTCCATGCGGAACCTTATCAGCAGATCCCGAGTAACATCAGTTTGTGTCATGATCCTAAGCAGGTCTGATAGGAGACTTTGGCCAGGGTTGTTATTTGAGACTTTATTGGTGATTTTAGACATATTATGAAACTTGAGAAAAAACAGAATTAAGGCAATATGCCACAAAAAAAGGATACTTGTAAATAATAAAGAAAGTCTGTGATCTCCAGGTAGGGCTGAAACAAAGACAGGCTGGTTACAGAGGCAGCCTGGTTACAGTGGCAGGCTGGTTACAGTGGAAGGCTGATAACAGAGGCAGAGGTCAAAATCATACGTAAGAGTTCAGCAGGTTTGAAAGTCTGAAGCAGGTTGGTATGGAGCAGGTTCACATGAGCCAGGAACTGAAGTCTTTCAGGCAAATCACCAACTTCAATGTAAAGGCCACTTGGTTTATTGGGTGTGGCCTTTTATAGCAGACTTGATTTTAGGTTATCCAGATGAGAGTCTGAGATGACTGGTGGCTAGGGAGGCCACTAGAGGCGAAAGTCAGGTACTGTATTTAAAAGGACAGTATTAAACGAAAAAACTCTTACTTGTCAGTATAGGAACCTGACAGTTGGGTCTCAACTGCTTATTTGCTTAGATTTAGTGAGGGTCAGTAAGAAAGTTCTGTGCCTCATATGAAAATGTGGTATCTCCCCCTGGGGAAGACTTTCAAGCAAGCCTCGTATCGGGACATTCCGCCGTTGAAGCTGGTCTTCCATAAGCACAAATTTTGCCTTGTATACATTTTGCTGGCTATGTAGTTGTGCAAGAGCAGTAGCCATATCCTGCTATCTGCCCCTAATATCTCCTGCATCCTCCTCAACCACTTGTATGTGGTCTGAAAGCGTGACTACCTCCTCTCTTGCCATAAAAATGCCTGCTGCAAATATTGCTTTTATGTCACAAAGAAGTGCTTTAATGTATGCCTTGCTTGCTGGCAACTTATAATACATTTCCAGCAAGCCACTGGCAATGCTTGGAAGTCATCCAAGGAGCCTAGGACATCTGCCCCTGAAGTAGCTGTCTGTGTGCAGCCTGCAGCTTCAGCTCAAAGAGGCCTGGGCTGTGGTGTGTGTAGCCTGGCTCACAAGAGGAGAAGCTGCTGCTGAAATCAAGCTTGACCTGACCACAGATATTGGTGTATCTTCCACATTGCTGTCCTCCGAGAAAGCCATTGATGGCTCTTGTGGGTCGCCATCTTGGGAACACATGGCCCAGGAGCCTGGCGGCATGACTTCCCTAAATAAGGGGATTTTTGATGTGGCGTGCTTCTCAATGCCCTGGTTTTGCACCCCATCACTGCTCAGAAGTTCCTGGATGGCTAACATTCCTGTTGGGTCCTAAAACATGGAGTAAAAATACTATAAACAGGGCTATTTCTCCAGAGCAACTGCAACGTGAGTCTGCTTTGTTTAATCACTGGATTATCCCCCTTCACATTTATATATTTAAAGTAAGTATATATTTTGCAGTACTCTGTCTGGTCCATTTTTACCCCTTTTTTTTGTTTGTGTGAATTGTTTTCTCTAATATATTGTATGGTCGATTTACAGATGAGCTGAACCACCACATGGATCGGACTTCCCAAACTAAATTTTATTTTCTGACAAAGTCATTAGGCTAAACTGAATTTTACCTCCATGCATAAGTCTAGTTTAGACCATTACTTTATCCTACAGCTAGGGAATTTGTGAATAAACCTGTGGAACATTTTGACCCTTTTCAAAAGTGTCTGTGTTTTAAGCAGCAACACCGTGTTTTTGAGCTGAATTGAGGCATCACAGTTTGATTGGCGCTGGGCATTCACTGTGCTTGACTAAGTTACCAGCAGAATTCACCAGCTTCATTTAACACAATTCAATGATTTTAATTTGTCTGTTACAGTTCAAATTCAGAAAATGCAAAATGAGAATTTTGTGCAAATGGCAACTATACAAAATGACAGCAGAGTTAGCAGCCAACATCTTCCATAGCAATTGATCTGAGCTATTTTGCTTTCCATAGCAATGACCATTGACTTCTTGGGGAATCATTTCGAAAATGTGCAGACCAACTCTCTGTTTATATTTTTGGAAAATAAGGGATCTCATTAGGTGAATCCAACGTTAGCAACATTTTAAAACTAACTTGTTTTGAAATATACTTTGAAATTATACTTTAACAAGACCACTAAAAAATATTTTAGCAACGCAGGCAACTAACATGAATTGCTATATCAATATAACTACATACTGCATAGAGATTAATTTGGAGTTTCCAATGTTTATATTTTGAAATCAAATTAACTGAAAAGAAAATTAAGTGGCAAGATTTTGTTTGGTATACCATTGGGCATGTTGCGCTGTAACTTAGTCAAAGAATGTAAACTTTCCGATCTCATCATGATTACCTCCAAATATGAGACATAGCACAACTCTATCATCTAGTGAACAGATATCAGATAAGCCAATAAATAGTATATTTTGGAAGATTTTGTTTGTAGCCCTCTGGATCTATGAGACTTCAATTTATCAACGTGGCTACCTCGTGGAAGTCAATCTCTAGCCTATAGACATACATTAGTAGATTTATGAAAGATAAGTTTTTCTTGTAAGAAAAAAATAAGAATGTATGCTATGTTCTTCTCTTGGGCTGCGTCCTTAAGAGGTGAGATATTTTAGACACTTTGATGAATCGGCCCCATAGAATAACATTGCTTGAAATTTCACTTTTCTTGCTTTCGAAAAACAAAACCACTCCTTGATTAATTAAGCTGCTCCTAAGAGTTTATGGATTAGAAGGGATAAATGATGAGAATCACTGATCTGTGTTTGTCAACTTCAAAAACTCACAGAAAATCTACATTCCAAGATGTCACGCAGTACATTTTATTTGCAAACTTTATCTCCAATGAAAAATGTAAGTTTTAGCTTTCATTTTTCTTCATTTATGAGTGTATCATTAATTGGTTCAGAAAAACACCTTCAACAAGAATACTAAAGATTAATGATTATAAAAGTATATCCATAAAGGTAAAACTTTTTTTTTTATATCCATATTATAAATGTATGAGAATATTATTAATAATATGAGAGACTTTGTTTTATAATGCCGGATCAACTTTTTTTAAATGGACCCGTAGCATATGATGACTTTACTTTAATAAATTGCTCATAAAAAACACCTATGTCTTATGTTAATATTTTTTTAAACCTGTTCTAGATATTTTGAATAATAGATTTCAATGTATCTGGGAAACAGCTCATTATGCAAAGGAATAAATAAGGTACAGAGCTCGCCCCTCTGGATTTTCTTGCCAGCTATAAAACAAGTTGCAAAGATTTATATAGATACAAACTCTGGAAGAGAGATCTGGTGGAAGCTGGTAAAATAATATCTTAACTCCTTTCCTACGGAATTCTTTTTTGTTCTAGAATATAAGCGTGACATTTATTTGAAACATGGGTTCTGTAGGCAGTACATAGATTTATGTCAAAACAGCAATTTGTGTACAGTTGCCAGTAATCTTAAAAAATATAAGATTTTGTACACGAACGGATTTTCTTTATATTTGTTTATTCTTTGCAGGAGGGAGTGTGAAATGTGGCAAGGATTGTATGATGGAAGGCCATGTTCTGTAACACTTTTTTAAGATTTCTTAAACAAACAATTATGGCAAAACAGCACAAGGTGTGCAGGTTGTGGGTGTGAATAACAATTGGGTCTATAGATACTTGTCTAAAAGTATAATATCTGGTATGGTCCCTTTGGTGTTTTTCAAGTGATACACTTGTACATTTTGTGCTATGGAAGTGCCTTTCATGATTTAAAAATGTGTCCATGTCATCTTAAAGATCTCGATGATTCAGCAGAGGATAGTCTTGTTTTCTATAGAAGCCTGAATCTCTGAATGACATCCTGCAGAGCAATCTTGTTTTCTAAATTTTAAGATTATGCACCCTTCCGTTCAAGTTGTCATCTCAATTGCTTTCTGTAATTTCCTATTGTTTCCAACACATTTCTCTGCTACATAGTGCAGTCGCTTGTTGCATTTAACAGCCTTAGCCGGTGTATAGCACTGCAATTTGTTGCTTCCAACACATTTTCTGGCTGTACAACACAATATTGTCTTCCTTCAAACACTCTCCCATACTGTAAATCCATGTTTTCACACTGTATCCTCCGATTTTTACCTTTACTGTTTACAGACACCTAACAGAATAAGAATTTATTGTATTTTAGCAAATTTCACTTTTAATGTCTAGGTTTACTCTCTAACAGAGATCTGCAATTAGCGCTGGTAATACTCCATTAGGGACCTTTATTAAAGTGTTGTGGTCTGACAATTTCGTCAGTCAACAGGAAGACTCCATTGCTGATCATTTCTCTTTTTCAACTTTGCACCACTTTTCAGATCATTTATTTTTGATAGATTTTGCCTCGTATTTCTATTTGTAAAGGAATTCTCTGGGCTGACCATCTTAAAAACTTTATAATGCCTTCATCTCATTGGGTGCCATCTTATGTTCATGGGTTAAAACATTTTCAGATGCTTGGATCATGACGTTGGCTCCCCAGGTGCTCAGCAGCTCTACTTCCTGTTTCCACCTCTAGATGCTCTACATGCAAGAGAGGATTGCCTTAGTGGCTGGTGATAGGTTTGGAGCATCAATTGATAGCCCCAGCCTTTAACAACATACATTATTGCTAAATATGGTTGGCGAATGATAGGCTGATTGGTCAAGGCACATTGTCCTTGCCTGTGTGGCGGCCAGACTGAAGAGGCAGAGCTGTTAAATGACAGGGCACCAAACTTCAACATTCAACAAGGGTTTAATCACTGAAGGTAAGACAGTGGCCAATCGCTCATGCCCCCATAACAACTTCTTAGATGTGATATGAGGCAGACTTGCTTTTCTAACACTCATTCTCAACTGTTTTATTCTCGAAAAATAATGGAATTATTACTGTAACAAGTGCTGGATGTTGAGTTTGACTATGTGCATGTCTCACCTGGTATGACCTATTGGCTTGACACAATAATCAAAGTCAAAATGAAGGAGAAAGGGGAAAATGCACATTTTAGAAATCAATTAATTTTATCCTTAAACCACTTGTGAACAGAACTTAACATTAATCATTTTAATTTACTAAGGAATTTATAATGACTAATGCATACCATCAACCACAAAAAAAAGTTATTAAAGTGTACTCTGTTTGAGAGTGTGATTTAATGATTTAAACATTCTGTTGCTAAATGAATGAAAAATATTTACTAAAATTCTCCAGTGTACTTGTAGGTTATTCACGGAGATAAACTTGCTAATGCTTGTGTAATTTTATCTGAGTTCAGATAAATTATCCCATCTCTGCTGATTTAATGCATGATTACTGAACCCGTAGATTTACAGATGTAAGCTGTGCTACTCAGTTCAATAGCATCACAACATGCAGCAGCACATCCACGCCATCTGTGTGGTCCAGAAAGAAACGAAAACCATTTACTTTACAAAACATTCATTGTGTTACTGAAGATGTCATAAATGGCAGATTTAGTGTGCGCAGTTGATGCCATGTACGACAGAATGAAATGTTATCCATGAAAGTCCAGCAGATGGGGAAAAAAAAAATGAAATATGACCATCATGAAACCAACTATTTTTTTCTAACAATTGAGTTATTTTGTGTTATGGCTTGTAATATAAGCAGTTGTGTTTTTTTATTTTATTTTATCATTTTAGAGGTATGGATTTTTTTGACTGCTATTACAGTAAATATAATTTCACAGCAGCCTCTCTCACTGGTGGTGAACTTTCATATCACAATACATGTCCAATATACAGGACAGTTGTCTAACGAGAGGCCAGCAAGACACATCTGGTCCAAAAAAGGCTTTTTTTCACTATAGCCCCAGGCTGCTTCATAACTCCACAGTATTTCTCATATAACAATACTGTTTTAAAGGGCTGATTGAATCCACTAGCACAGGAATCATAAATATCCAGAGCAGAACCCATAAATCACCAGTGGACACCAAGTAGTATTGGGGTACCATCTCGTATAAACATTATTTTATAACGGGAGAGAGAATAAGTTCAGGGAATGAAGAACATTGAGGAAATAAATGATGTAATATAATATGACAAGTTTTGGGGATAATTAAACAGCCCCATGTTTAGGGTTAATTACAATCTCTTGTTTGATAATTATTGACATGTGAGCAGCTACTGATGAGCCGTTTACAATGTCTAAGCGATCACAATCCCACAGCTCTGAAACTTTCAAAAACTTTCAAAAACACAGATTTTAATGAAACTATTGAACACGGTGCAAATTCAAGGCCAGAAAGAACTTGAAAGAG